AGATATCCCGACTCCGAAAAAATGTGGGAGCTTGAGACGCCACTTCGGCAAGATTGCCCAGACGCCATGAGCGCTTTTGATCAGAAAGATCAGGACGCCCCGCGCTTCCCGGCAATAACCAGGAAAGTAGAAGGGCCGTGAGCTGAGCTTAAGCAGTGGTCCTGAGCTCATGCGGTCGCAGACACAGAGCTCGTGGGAGCGTTAGGGGTTGACCCATACGTCGCAAAGAAACAATCCGAAGGAAGTCAACGTCATGCCTTGAGTTTGGCAAACCCAAAGCGGAGGTGTCGCTCCACACGCACGTCCACTTCCTTGTGGCTCAACTGCAGGTTGTGCAGTGAGGAAAATTTCCGGTGCCGTTGCACCCATCGCTCAAAGAGCGCTTCGTTATCTGTAGCGCTTTCGCCAGGGGCGAGCACTACAGGTATTGTCCGTATTGCGGGTACGCGAGAGCCACCTCGTTGCGCACGTGGACGAGTGCGATAAGCGTCCAAGGAAAATTCTTGTGGAACCAAGAAACGAGCTCGAAGAGCTTTCTGCTCGGCAAGTGTATCTTCCGTAATAACCAGAGGCCCAATGATGTGGAGGCGTAACGATCGAGCTACCGCGTCCTTCTCTTTCACAGCGGGATCCGCCGGGCGGAAGCCATATTCCACACGAGGGTCCGTGGATAGGCGCGCTTCAGAGCCGCCTTACATGCAGCTTCCAGCTGCCGCCTCTGTGCTTCGTCGAGGTCATTGGCGATTACACCACGTTCCTCAGGTGACGAGAAGTCAGGAAACGGACATGATGTCCGCAAGCCGCGAGCAGACACCGCTGGTGCGGCCCGCCTTCCTCGTCATTCTATCCGGGAAAAGGAGTGTCAGACTCGTAGTCGACCACCTCCACATCCTCAACGAGGTCACTCGTCACTGATAGCGTGCGCGGCGCGCGACGCTCGAGCTTATCGAGCCTACGATTTGCATCCCTTGATGCCGCGGAGACACAGTCCGACATGGCACCGTGTGCGGGAGACGAAGTTGGGCTCTGCCCGTGTGCGCTGTCAGAATCAGCGAGACTTGGTGACTTCAGTGTCATTGACACAGGGCTCATTGATCACGGAAATTATTTTGTTCCAGCGAACCAAGTTGCAGTGTCTAGCGGACACGCAAGCCTCGTTGAGGCA